AATGCTCAGAATCTCAGAATCTCAGAATCTCAGAATCTCAGAATCTCAGAATCTCAGAATCGCGGAATCTCGGAGTCTCGGAATCGCAGAGTCTCAGAATGTCAGAGTCTCAGAGTCTCAGAATTTCAGAAGCTCAGAATCTCAGAGTGTCAGAGGCTCAGAATCTCAGAATCTCAGAATCTCAGAATCTCAGAGTCTCAGAATCTCAGAATCGCAGAATCTCAGAATCTCAGAGTCTCAGAATCTCAGAATCTCGGAATCTCAGAATCTCAGAAGCGTGGAATTTCAGAATCTCAGAATCTCAGAATCTCAGAAGCTCAGAATCTCAGAATCTCAGAATCTCAGAATCTGAGAGTCTCAGAAGCTCAGAATCTCAGAATCTCAGAATCTCAGAATCTCGGAAGCTCAGAATGTCAGACGCTCAGAATCTCAGAATCTTAGAATCTCAGATTCTCAGAATCTCAGAATCTCAGAATCTCAGAATCTCAGAATCTCAGAATTTCAGAATTTCAGAAACTCAGAATTTCAGAATTTCAGAAACTCAGAATTTCAGAATTTCAGAAACTCAGAATCTCCAGAATTTTTCGAATTTCGGATTTTTCGGTTTTCAGAAACTTCGAAAATTCCAAAATTTTGAATGAAATGTTTTTTGAGTTTCCCAAAATTTCGATTTTGGAAATTTCGATTTGTTGGAATTTCAGATTTTTGAAAATCCCAAAAATTAAGAAACTAAGGACAATTCAAATTTTTGAAAGTTTTGAATTCTCAAAAATTCAGAATTCCGGATTTCCTCCAATTTTTTTGGAAATTCCGGGCTCCCCGAATCCAGAATCCTCCTCCGAATCTCATTAATCCAATTTTCCTCTCCTTCTTCTTCTTCTAAAAAGAAGAAGAAGAAGAAGAACAGGAATATTCGCAACACAAAGAAGAAAACCTCATAAATCTTTAGAAATTCGACGGAATTCTAATTTCTCCCTCCTCCTTTTTTTTCTCTAACCACTCTCTCCTGTCTGGCACTCTCTCGCTCTAGCCATATTACACATGCACCACACAATTGCGCAACGCCCTATAGCTTCAGACAGAGAGAAAAACTCCTTTCTCTGCGTCTCTCCCTCTCCCGTACTCTCTCGTCGAATTGAAGCTCTCCGACGGACGAAGGGCGGACGAAAAGCGCTCCTCCCCAGCCGCGCCTATTCCCTCAAGCAAAACTTCGTATAGTGGAAATCGAGAATTTTTTTGAAATTTTAATTTTGAATTTTTTTTTCTATGCGCCTTTAATGCTACGGTAGCTTGCAAATTTTTAATTTTCTCAAAAAATTGTCTTTTGACAATACTTTTTTTCAATGTTTTTCTATGCGCCTTTAATGATACGGTAGCATTTTAAATTTTAAAATTTTCAGATGTAATTCCACCCCTCAAACCCTTGGTAATTCACTTTGGAGACAACACACCCACAATTCTACAGTAACCCAACTACAGTAATCCATCTTCCTAAAAAATCTGGACAAATTTAATGCTGAGCAATGATTCCGATGAGCCAATTTACGATGTATTCAAAAAAAAAAATGAAAAATCCCAAAAAACCCAAAAAAACCAATTTTTTGGCGATGTTGAGGTGAGCATTTTTTGAAAATTTTGATTTTCGAAATACTGAAAATTCGAAAAATCAGAAGTTCCGAAACTCAGAATCTTAGAATCCTCAGAATCTCGGAATCTTAGAATCTCAGAATTTCAGAATCTTAGAATCTCAGAATCTCAGAATCTCAGAATCTCAGAATCTTAGAATCTCAAAATCTCAGAATCTCAGAACTTCAGAATCTCAGAATATTCGAATCTCAGAATTTCAGATCTTGAGAATTTCAAAATTTCAGAAATTCAAAAATTCAGAAAATCGGAAGTTCTGAAACTTTAAAATTTTTTGAAATTTCAAAAATTCCAGAATTTCCAAAAAACTCGATTTTTCAGGTGATCACCGTCGTCATTCGCTGCGAGTGCCCCCGGTGACAGATGTACAGACCCCCACCGCCCCCCCCCCAAAATCCCCCCTTTGTATGTCCCGCCCACTTTTTTAAGCCCCGCCCACTTTTAAAATAAACTTTCATTTTCTACCAGAGCCCCCGGTACCCAACGTCTCTGCATGTGAGAGCTCCACATGCAAATCTACCCATCCCCCGAGAAGTCTTTCAGGCCACGCCCACTTTTTCTCTCTTTCTCTAAATCTCCTTATTTCCTATACTATTTTTTTTCAGTCTTTCAATTTCCTTTTTTTTTATTTTTCAGTGTCATGCTCCGGAATTTTATTAACTCAGAATTAATGTTTTTGAAATTTTGAAAAAAAAAACTTTATTTTTCAAAAATTTGAATTTTCCAGAATTTTTAAATTTTTGTAGTTTGTAGTTTTTTAGTGAACTGTCTATCCACCTTTTTTTGTACAATAGCAAGTCCCGCAAGTCTTTCTTCTATATTTTTCAAAATTTTAGGTTTTTTAGATTTTTTGTAGTAATTTTATTCAATAAACTGCTTTGTACAACGATGAATATGGAATTTCAGATTTTTTTTCAGAGGAATAAATGAGAGATTTTTATGAAAAAAATACATTTTTTAACCAAACTTTTTTTTCGAAAATTCGATTTTTTTTTTTGTTTTTTAGCGAATTTTCAGGGTTTAATGAGAGTTTTTAGTGTATTTTTTGTTAATTTTCAATTTTATAAGCAGCTTTTCCCGAAAAAATCGTTGAAAACAGCTGAAAATCTAAAAATTTCAGCAGAATTCCGTTGAAAATCGCAATTCATCGTGGCTTCTCTCGCACCCTCCACTCTCTCGCACATAGCAATGGAGCGCGCTTGCTAACCATGGCCGCGTGTTTTCTCGGTCGTAGCGATTTACGAGCCTTCTTTTTGCATTTTTTCATTGATTTTCTATATTTTTCCCACTTTTTCACCAAGATTTCCCGGAATTCTCGAATATTTTCCAAATAAAAAAATGTGGCGAACACGATACAGAGGGTCTCCAGTCAGAGAAAAAGAGGAATTCGCATGTATCAACTGTCAGCAGCCGGCGACCAATTTATACATCAAATACTCGGAAGAAGTCACAACGCTGACTGATTGTGTATGTTTTAGGAGTGAAAATAGCTGAAAAATTCAAGTTTTGAGGCTAGAAATCATAAAAAAGTTCATAAAAATATATTTTTCCAGGACAAATGCGACAAAACGGTTGACAAGTACATCGAGCAGGATGTGGTGCTTGTTGTTATCGATTTGATGCTACAGTACGTTCAAGCCTATCGTCATCTCCTTCTGAACGTCAGAATTCAACGCCCGGAGCGTCTTTTTGTGATGTTTTGGCTGAGCCACGCGGCAGAAGTTTGGATTCGAGAGCGTGAGAATCGAGAGGAGCAGACGACGATGCTAGCTGATCAGGAATGGATGTAAGGAACCGAAAATTCTGAAAAAAAAATTTTTTTTTCAAAAATTGCCATTTTCAACCTAAAAAATCGATCTTTATGCTGAAAAATTCAAATTTCCCGCTTCAGGTTCTACCGGTGCCTTCTCCTTTCCGCCGTCGAAATCAGCTCCTTCGTTTTTGTAATTTTACTATTTTGGAAGCTGAAAAAAGACGAAACAGTTCATACGTGGCGACAAATGATCAGCTTGACAATGTTGGGATATTATGGTGAGCAATGGATGGGAATTCTGAAATTCTGACAGAAAAATCAAATATTTTGAGCCATTTTTGGCCGAAACTCAACGATTTTGAGTGAAAAAATACTGAAAAAAAAGCCAATTTTTACTTTCGAAATTTTGAATTTCTGTGCAAACACCAAACGTTAAATTTTACGACAAATTGCAGAAAAGTCGATTTTTCGATCGAAAATTGCCCATTTTTCCTGAAATAATTAGAATAGTATCCATAGTACCCATAGTCTTTATAGTAACCATAGTACCCATAGTACCCATAGAACCCATAGTATCCATAGAACCCATAGAACCCATAGTACTCATAGTAGCCACTCAATGACCCATAGTATCCATAGAACCCGCAGTACCCATAGTACCCATAGTACCCATAGTACCCATAGTACCCATAGTACCCAAAGTACCCATAGTATCCATGGTATCCATAGTACCCATAATACCCATGGTATCCATAGTACCCATAGTATCCATAGAACACGTAGTACCCATAGTACCTATAGTACCCACATTGCCCATAGAACCCATAGAACCCATGGTCCCTATGGTACCCATAGTCTTTATAGTACCCATAGTACCCAAAGTACCCATAGTACCCAAAGTACCCATAGTACCCGTAGAGCCCATAGTACCCATAGAACCCATAGAACCCTTAGAACCCATAGAACCCATAGAACCCATAGAACCCATAGAACCCATAGAACCCATAATCCCTATAGTTAGCATAGTACCCATAGTATCCATGGTATCCATAGTACCCATAGAACCCATAGAACCCATAGTACTCATAGTACCCATAGAACCCATAATACCCATAGTACAAAAATCAGAATTTCCAAAAAAAAAGTCCCCAAAATCTAGGAATTCCAAAAACTTCCAGGAAATTTTTTAAAAGAATTTTTTACTTCATTTTGGCTCAAAATTTATCATTAAAAGAGCAATTTTTCCAGGAAACGTCGCCGTGGTGCTCTCGTTCATCTTCCGCCTCTCCCATCGTCTCTCCTATCAAATCGTCATGCAAATCTTCCTTCTTGTCTCCCATATCCAAGTTCAACGTGTCCTATTTCCTACCGTATCCGATTCAAATAATATCATCGTTGTTCTGGTGGCGAAAACGTTCTCAACGATTACCGGTGCACTTTTCACTCAGGCGGTTAATGATAGCTTTATGTGATCTTGATTTTTTTTTCTCTTTTATTGATCTATTTATTTATAACGCATGACATGTAATAAAAGTTGTGATTTTTATTTTAAAAAAATGGAGAATTGGTAATTTGTGTGCAAACACCAAACATCACATCTTACGACAAATTTCAGAAAAGTCGATTTTTCGATCGAAAATTGCCCATTTTCCTAAAATAATTAGGATTTGGAAGGAAAAAAAAAATAAATTTAGAGAACCCATAGTACCCATAGAATCCATAGTAGCCATAGTACCCAAGGGACCTATAGTACCCATAGTACCCATAGTACTCATAGTACCCATGGTACCCATAAGACCTGTAGTACCCATTATCTCCATGATCCCATGACTCACCAATCAAGCTGATACCCATAGTACCCATAGCACCCGTAGAGCCCATAATAACCATAGTACCCATTGCACCCAAAGTACCCATAGTACTCATAGTACCCATTGTACCTATAGTACCCATAATAACCATGAATTTCTGAATTTCTGAATTTCTGAATTTCTGAATTTCTGAATTTCTGAATTTCTGAATTTCAGACATTTCTGAATTTCTGAATTTCTGAATTTCTGAATTTCAGACATTTCTGAATTTCTGAATTTCTGAATTTCTGAATTTCTGAATTTCAGACATTTCTGAATTTCTGAATTTCTGAATTTCTGAATTTCAGACATTTCTGAATTTCTGAATTTCAGACATTTCCGATTTTTTGAACTTTCGAATTTCCGAATTTCTGAATTCGTGAATTCGTGAATTTCTGAATTTCTGAATTTCTGAATTTCTGAATTTCTGAATTTTTGAATTTCTGAATTCGTGAATTTCTGTAATTCCGAATTTCTGAATTTATGAATTTCTGAATTTCTGAATTTCTGAATTTCTGAATTTCTGAATTTCTGAATTTCTGAATTTCAGACATTTCCGATTTTTTGAAATTTTGAATTTCCGAATTTCTGAATTTGTAAATTCGTGAATTTCTGAATTTCTGAATTTCTGAATTTCTGAATTTCTGAATTTCTGAATTCGTGAATTTCTGAAATTCCGAATTTCTGAATTTATGAATTTCTGAATTTCTGAATTTCCCAATTTATTCCCAAAAAATAATGTACATAATATCAAATGGCAGAATTACACAAAAATGCAATAAATTACAAAAATTACAAAAACACATCATTTTCAGAATTTTCCGAATTTTCAGATCGTGCGAGTCCTGACACTTCACGACTGCCAATCATAAATGTCACTTCCAGTTCTCCAGAATTTCCAGAATTCTTGAAATTCTCCAGAATCCAGTTGGTCCAAGATTTGACGTCTTCAGAATCCGAATTTTCTCGAATTTTCTCAAAAATCTTTTTGCCACACAGCTCATCGGCATTTTCGATTTTCGAAATTATTTCCATTATGAATTTGACAAATTGATTTTTGGCTCCCAATTTTTCGGAATCCGTCTTCTCGTTTTTATTCGAATAAAAAACTGACACCAGAAATGGACGATCGTTTCTTTCAGCAATTTTTTGAAGGCGTTCTTGGTGCACAAGTGTTGTCTGTAATAAATTTTTATGGTCAAAATCGAATTCTACGTTAAAAACTACCCTAGAAACCAACAAAAAATCACAAAAAATTTGAAAAAAAACGTTCATGGCCGAGTTTTTGCATTTTCTAGACCACCTGACTGTTCTTCTATTTTTCAGAAAACCCTGAATTTTCTGAGTCTATTCATAATCAAATTTGAATTCTACGTTAAAATCTACCCCAGAAATCAGCAAAAAACCAAAAAAAAGCTGATGGCCGAGTTTTTGAGTTTTCTCGGCCACCATTGGGAAAGCTAGGCCATGGGTGAGTTTTGGTCAATCATCTAATTTCTAGACTAGTTTTTCACGCAGAACCTGAATTTTAAGTTATTTTTGTGTTAAAACAAACAGGGATCGTGATAAGACTGGCTAGTTTTATTGCAAGTGTTTTCAGAAATTTTTATAGTCTTGAATTGGAATTTTCAAGAGCTCCCGTTGATTTTAACAAGAAAATAACACAAAACTCGAATTCTGCAAAAAAAATTAGACTAGAAACATTGCTCTTGACAAGAAATTGATCGTTGCCGAGTTTTTGAACTGGTGGCCTAGAAATTCCGAAAACTCGGCCATCACCATTCTTTGGATTTTTTAGGTGTTTAGGGGTAGTTTTTAGCGTAGATTTGGAATTTGACAATGATAAAGACTGAAAAATTCGGGAATTACTCTAAAAATGGGAAATAACTGAGATGGCCTAGAAGTTCCCAAAACTCGGCCATCATGATTTTCTCGGGGTTTCCTTGATTTTTTGTCGGTTCTAAGGTAGTTTTTACCGTAGATTGCAAATTCATCCAAAAAATGAGAGGAAATGTCAGGTGGGCTAGAAAAAAACCTAGGCCACTGGTTCCTAAATTTTCAACTCACCCCAAAATTTCCAAATCCTCTTTTTTGAGCTTTTTTCCAGCGTTTTCTTTCTCGAATCGCTCCAAAATGCCCTTAAAACTCGTCAAAAGCATCGCGCAAATCTTTGGATGTTTCCGGAATCGATGAAGTGCGAATTGGAACGAGGTCAAGAATTTTAGGAAGATCTCAGCGTCCATTTTCAGATTCCCGGTCAAAATTTCCAGCGTTTTCAGTAGACATTGCATCTCGAAGACGTCGGAAATCGTCTCATGATGGCCTAGGATCCCAAAAATCGCGAATTTCAAATCTCGGTCGTTTTTGAATTTTTCCGCTTGTTCGACTGGAATAAATCCATAGAATTTGTTGAAGAATTCAAAGGCTCCAAATGACATTTCGATATTTTTCTGGTCCATTTTTTTGATTTCCAAAATTGTCAAATCGCAAATTTGACTGATTTGTGGAAGTGAGCAATTTGTGATCATCTCGATGTGATTGAAAATCTTCCAAGTCATCAATTTATATGATCTCGGCTTGCTTTTCCCAGTCGAAAACTCATCATGACACATTTGTGAATATTTGGAGACCAGGATTTCCATAAATTCTTTTTTGATCTCTCGGGAGAAGATTTTCGAGCGGTTTTGCCTGGAAATATCGAATTTTTGAGTTTCAAAAGTTGAAAAACCAGAAGAATCACGAAAAACCACTCTAGAAACCACAAAACTCCGGAGTTTTGCCAATAAAATCTGAAAAATGAAAGGGGCCGAGTTTTGGAATTTTCTAGGCCACCAAAGTTAAAACCGGTTTTTCTCGAAAATACTGAATTTTCTAGATTTTTCGATGGGAAAATTCAAAATCTACATCAAAAACTACCCTAGAAGTCGCAAAGTAAACCAAAAAAAAGTTGATGGCCGAGTTTTGGAATTTTCTAGGCCACCTGACTTTTTTCTATTTTTCAGAAAATCCTGAATTTTTTGAGTATTCTCATAGTCAAATTCAAAATCTACATCAAAAACTACCCTAGAAGTCGCAAAGTAAACCAAAAAAAAGTTGATGGCCGAGTTTTGGAATTTTCTAGGCCACCTGACTTTTTTTCTATTTTTCAGAAAATCCTGAATTTTTTGAGTATTCTCATAGTCAAATTCAAAAACTACATCAAAAACTACCCTAGAAGTCCCAAAAACCGAGAAAGAGGTTGATGGCCGAGTTTTTGAGTTTTCTAGGCCATCATTCGGAAAGTTAGGCCATGGGCGGTTTTTGGTCAAAAAAATAGTTTCTAGGCTAGTTTTTTATGCAGAATCCGAATTGTGGTTTTCTTCTCTTGTAAAACCAAAACTGAATCTTTGAAAAACCCACAAATAACGCGCTGGCCGAGTTTTCCGAAATTTCTAGGCCACCACACTTTTTTGTACTTTTCAGAAAATCCTCGACTTTCTGTGTATTTTAATGTTTGAATTCAAGATCTACGCCAAAAATTACCCTAGAAATTCCCAAAAATCAAGAAAAATACTTGATGGCCGAGTTTGGTAAATTTCTAGGCCACCTGACTTTTTTTTCTATTTTACAGAGAATCCTGAACTTTATGAGTATTCTAGTTGTAAAATTCAAAATCTACATCAAAAACTACCCCAGAAATTGCAAAAAAAACAACAAAAAAGGTTGATGGCCGAGTTTTTGAATTTTCTAGGCCACCATTCCGAAAGTTAGGCCACGAACGTCTTTAAGCATTCGCATATGGTTTCTAGACTAAAATTATACAAGGAATCCGAATTTCGTGTTATTTTCCTTCCAAATTAAACAAGGAGTCTAAAAAAGCTCATATATGAACCGATAATTTTTTCAAGACATAACACCATCTTAGTATATTTTTTCTTCCATTTTTCTTGGGAATCATCGATTTTGGAGCTTCGAAATTATAAAATCTCGTTGAAAACTACTATAGCAACGCTTTTTTCTTTTGAAACACGCTGGAAAATGATATAGTGGCCGAGGTTTTTGAAATTTCTAGGCCACAATTCCGAAAGTTAGGCCATCACATAGTTTCTAGGCCAATTTTTCACGGAGAATCCATATTTTTTACTAATTTTGAGTCAAAACCAACAAAAAACCCGGAAAAGACTCACCTTGTCATGGGCTCAACGGTGTACAGCACCCGAAAGCAAATCTCATCCGTCGTGCTTCCCATATATTTCACCATTGCTAGAAACGCATTTTCCAGATCTTTTCGACTAATTGCCTCATAATTATCGACTAATTGGACTTGCATATATTTAACTAATTTCCCCAAAAATAGTCCAGACATGTTTTGATGTTTTGTGTAATGAATTAGAGCCTCTGTGCACTTTTTGAGACTTGTAGTCCTCAAAATTTGAACTTTTTGAGTTGTATAAGGAAGTTTAGAATCCGGTAGTTGATGGATGTCGGTTCCTAAAATTTTTATGGATTTTGAAAATTTCGAAAAAAATTTTTTTTTTTAGTTTTCAAAATCTCACCAATCACACTGATTGTTTCCAGACCTCCGTGAATGCTGAGCAATTTTTTCAGGTCTCGTTTATTCATTAAATTGAATGAGCAATCCAGAATTTTCAAATTATCCATCCGTTTTGAAATCCGCGCTTTTCTCGATAGCAGGTACAGCTTCACATTTCGTCCGATTTTTCTGGAATTTTAAGATTTTCTGATTGTTTTAGTTTAAAATGAATGCTAAATCTGAACTTGCCGTAAAAAATTAGCCTAGAAACTATGTTTTTAAGACGAAATTGGTTATGGCCTAGTTTTCCCATTGGTGGCCTAGAAATTTCAAAAACCTCGGCCACATCATTTTTCAGCGTATTTTTTAAAATTAAATTTGAAATAAAAATAACACAAAATTTGGACGCCTTGTAAAATTGTAGCCTGGAAACCATATGCTTATGCTTAAAGCTGTTCATGGCCTAAATTTCCCAATAGTGGCCTAGAAAAGCCATTTCAATTTTTTCCTGGTTTTTAGCATTGCTAGAGTAGTTTTTGATGTAGATTTTGAATCAGACAATAGAAACAGCGAAAAATTTCTCAATTTCATACAAAAACGCAATTTTAACCTTGGTGGCCTAGAAAATCCAAAAACTCGGCCATCCGTTTTTTTTTTGGTTTTTCATAGATCTCTAGGGTAACTTTTGATGTGGAATCTGAATTTGAGGCTTGATAAGCTGAAAATTTTCGAATTTTTCTGAAAAATGGAGAAAGAAGTCAGGTGGCCTAGAAAATTCAAAAACTCGGCCATCAGTTTTTTTGGTTTTTCATAGATCTCTAGGGTAACTTTTGATGTAGATTTGGAATATAACTATTGAAAATTAAAAAATTTCCACTTTTCTAAGAAAAATCAAGTTTCATTTCGGTGGCCTAGAAAATGCAAAAACTCGGCCATGATAAAAAAAACAAAGTCCCCAGGACTTACTCGTATCCTGAAATATCCAAAAATTCAAGCCTCTCCAGCTCCCATAAATCCTGAATATGATGTTTTCGTTTCACATCCAGACCGCGCAAAATCAGTTTTTCCAAATTTTCCAGATTTGAAATTCCAGTCAAATTTCGGAGTCCCGAGTAGCTCAGGTCCAAATCGCGCAATTTCGGGAAGCTTGTGCACAAAATGTCGAAATCCAAAGATTTGATTCGACAGTGTGGTATGTGGAGTTTTTGGAGAAATTGGAAACGGAAGGAGAGCTGAAATTTAGGAATTTTTGGAATAATCAAAAATCCTGGTGATCTGGTAATTACCGTATCTTTGAGCTCAAATATCTCAATTTCTACAAGAGATATCAACAATTTGTCAACTAATAAAACACTTTATCAGTTGATGCATTTTTGATAGCTCTTAAAGAAATTGAGATATTTGAGCTCAAAGTTCCAGTATCTGAAAAGTTATTGAAAACTGATTTTGGGTTCCTTAAATTGAAATTTCAATTTTCCAGATTTTTCGAAATGAAATTTACCCAAAATTTTCCAAATCTTGAAATTACGAAAAACAAAATACTCACTTGTACAATCCAAAATCTCTGAAATTTGACTTGAAATCCATTAATCAGCAAATTCGTTAGCAGGTGGTCAGCTTTTGGATCTATAATTGCATCCAAAAATTTGATAATTGCAAAATATGGATCGGTGTCTGTAATTTTGAAAATTTAGTTCGTCGATTTTCCTCACGGATTTTTGGTTACAGTACTTCTTAGAGAATTTGGCTGTTTCCAATTTCAAAATGTTGTCCTTGAAATTTCACACATTTCTGTCCAACTGCCAGTTTTCTAGCTCATCTATCAGCCGAGATACAGCGATTTGAACATTAGGAGGCTAGAGACGCCAGACGACGAGACACGCTGCGTCTCTAGCCACGAGAACTTCAAATCGCTGTATCTCGTGTTCTAGACGAGCTAGAAAGTTGAAAATTGGACAGAAAATCCGGAAATTTTAAGGAGAATATTTTGAAAATTAAAAAATTAAAAAAAAAAACTTACACTCATCAATTTTCTCGGTCAAAAAGAAGCGTTGCTCATTGCTCAAATCATTCAGGGCCAAATCTTCCAATTTCCGATTTTTCAACACTTCGCAATTGTGCTCATCCAAATTTGGTTCAGAAATCACCTCTCCGCTAACAGCACAAATCCCGGAGAAGATATTTTTGGGCTTTGGAGAGAATTCGCAGTATTTGAAGTTTTTAAGATTCCATGTGTTTGAGACGATTCTAACAGTGGTTTCTGAGAACTGGGAGGCAACTGAAATTCGAACTCAATTATCTCTGCTCCTATTGAAGATATCAAAAATGTGTCAAGTAATAAAATATTACTGATAATTTGATAAACATTTGATCAGTTGACAAATTCTTAATATCTCTTATGGGAATCGAGATAATTGAGCTCAAAGTTGACTTGTATTTTAAGCTCAATTATCTCGACTTCTATAAGAGGTTTCAAAATTTTGTCAACTGATAAAATGTTTCTTAAATTATCACTAAAGTTTTATCAGTTGACTACTTTTTGATATCTCACACAGAAATTGAGATAATTGAGAAAATCGAACTTACCATCTACTGGTCCACCTGCACTAAATGAATGCGGAAGATAAGATTCGTCCATTCTCACTAATTTTAACTACATATAAACTAGTACCTGAAAATTAAAATTTTGAAAAAATGAACTTAAACTTGTCAAGAAGATTTTGAAATCCAAATGGGGAATTTTAAAAATTGAAGCTCAAAACTCAAATAAACAAATGTCAGAAAAAGTACATATTGATTTGTAATTGTAGGTTTTGAAATTCTAGGTTATGTAAACTTTTTTTTTTCAAAAAACAAAAATTGAAATTTCGGGTTTCTTCAAAACGAAAAATACTGATTTATACTTTGAGCTCGATTATCTCGGTTCCTACAATAGATATATTACGGTACTTCTGGGGTGGGTAGGACTTGGCTACCTAAGTTTGGTCCAAGAAGTCTTAACCACAATTTCCTTTAGTTCAAAATGTTTTCCTTGAAATTTCACATATTTATGTCCAATTTTCAACTTTCTAGCTCATCTAGCAGCCGAGATACAGCGCTTGAAAATTTCGGAGGCTAGAGACGCAGACGACGAGACACACTGCGTCTCTAACCTCTCAGATTTCAAACGATTGTATCTCGGTTTCTAGGAAAGCTAAAAAGTTGGCGTTTCTTGTGGAATACTCAATTTGAAATGTTTTATCAATTCGTTTAATAAGTTTGAAACAAGTTAAAATTTTTTTTTGAAATTTCAAAAAAGGCCACCGAAAGCATAAACTTCGAGCCCATATATCTCGGCTCCTATAAGTCATATCAAAAATTTGTCAACTAGTAAAATGTTTGTCATCATATCACTAAAATTTTATCAGTTGACGACTTTCTGGTATCATCCATAGAAGCCGAGATATATGAACTCAAAATGAGCATATCCTTAACTTTCTCGTTAAAACGATTTTTTTGAAACAGAAGATTTGAAAAACCCACAAAAGAGTTTTCATGTTAGCTACACGGATAATTCGCCAGAGACTCCGCGAGAGTTGGTAATTTTCTTGTCAAAAATTGCCAAACATCGGGGGGACCATCATTATCTTTACGGTCAATTTTCTCGCGGGGTAGAGGGAAGATTTTCTCCGATTTTCCCGACCAACCAATTTTCTGCCAATTTTCTCCGATTTTCCCGACCAAGAAGCTCAATTTTTGCATTAACTAAAACATAATTTGGACGGAAAGTTTAGTTTGTAGTTTTGTTTTTTTGGTGGATGGGATTTGGGATCTATCAAACACTTTTTGAGATTTAGTCAAAAAAGGGTCCATCAACTTTGACCCAATTTATCTCATTTTCTGTAAAAGATATCACAAAGTAATAAACTGATAAAATATTAATGATATTATGATAAACATTTTATCAGTTGACAAATTTTTGATATGTCTTACAGGAGCCGAGATATATGGGCTCGAAGTTGATGCTTTCGGTGACCTTTTTTGAAATTTCAAAAAAAAATTTTACTTGTTTTAAACATTGATAAAACATTTCAAATTGCGTATTTTACAAGAAAAACCAACTTTCTAGCTTTCCTAGGAACCGAGATACAGTCGTTTGAAATCTGAGAGGTTAGAGACGCAGTGTGTCTCGTCGTCTGCGTCTCTAGCCTCCGAAATTTTCAAGCGCTGTATCTCGGCTGCTAGATGAACTAGAAAGTTGAAAACTAGACAGAAATATGTGAAATTTTAGGTAGAACATCTTGAAATTAAAACCTTTTGGAAAAATGTTTCAAAATTTTCATATACCGATCCATACTCGAGATACAGCGCTTTGAAGCAGCGTCTCTCGTCGTCTGCGTCTCTAGCCTTTCAAACTTCAAAGAGGCGTATCTCGGCTACTAGATGAGCTAGAAAGTTGAAAATGAGACAGATATATGTGAAATTTCAAGGAAAACATTTTGAACTAGATGAAATTATGGTTAAGATCACTTGGACCAAACTTAGGCCGCCAACCTTAGAAGTACCGTAACCAGAAAGCTAAGACTCCAAAATTACAGACACCGATCCATATTTTGCAATTATCAAATTATCGGATGCAATTATAGATCCAAAAGCTGACCACCTGCTAACGAATTTGCTGATTAATGGATTTCAAGTCAAATTTCAGAGATTTTGGATTGTACAAGTGAGTATTTTGTTTTTCGTAATTTCAAGATTTGGAAAATTTTGGGTAAATTTCATTTCGAAAAATCTGGAAAATTGAAATTTCAATTTAAAGGGGGACTCCGACCAAAAATTTTTTTTGCATTAAAATGTGTTAAAAGTTATCTATTTTCCGAATATTATTGCGAAAAAATTCAAAAAAATCCGAAATTCCCAAAAAACGGCGTTGAAAAGGAAGAAAATTCAAAAAAAGGTGCCGCCGGGGGACGAGGATTTTCAGTGAGAAACCTAGGCCACGGCACCTGACACATTTTTTTCAAGTCGCCGACAGTGGTTTTTTACGTTTTTTACCTGCCGGACATGAAATTGAA